CCTAGTGAGAACATGGTGTTGGGGGAAATCACTTTATTTCTGTTTTTCATCAAACCGCAGTTTTTGCAAGTTCACGCAATTTTTGCAAGTTCACGCAATTTCATCGCATAAAATTGCATAAATATCCCGCATATTCCATCGCATTTTTAAAGAAAACGGGCTGCGTAATCAAGGATTTTTGCCCGCAACAATCACAAAAAAACTGTTTTTCTGGAAGGACTGGTTATTTCAACAATAGTCAGTATTTTGAAACCTGGTGTACTTTGACTGCATGTACCTTGTGATGTGAAAACATCTAGCTAGCTAGCAGCTCATTGGTTCGCTCAGGGAGAACTGCTACAGCCTATGAGGGAACTAGTATATAATGTGTGGTTGTTTATGTGTGAGTAAACTCTATATTTAAAATTAGTTTTTTTTTTCCCTTCTTGGACAACCAACCAATCACAGTCTTCAAAAGAGTGCCTCATACATAGCAACGGGGTCAGCCCCGCCTACTGACTAAGATGAAAGTTATTATCTTTTCCTTACTCAGAGTTACTCTCAGATCAGTCCTGAATCGCTCTTAAGCTAAGACTCCTACGTAAAAGTTTTTAAGATAAATTAAAGAGTTTTCTGAGAGGATTCTTAGAATCTTTTTGAATACGGGCCCTTAAGTTTAACTGGTCAATTTAGTTAAATAAGGCACTACTATTGGGCAGTTACCAGGCAAATAAAATCAGCATATTGATTCTAATAAATGTTGACGTAAATGCATATATACATAAATAAAAGTGAAAATAAATAAATGTTGTAAAACATATAATTATACATAAATAGGGAAATAAAAGTATAAATAGTAATTTATTTGTATTTTTTTAACATATCTTTGCGTATTTATTTTAAAATTTTATAGGTTTGGTCCTACACATGGTCCTAGCTAAGGCAAGCAGATAGTTTTGAACACTGGCTGGTATGTACTTGCTCAAATTTATTTTGGAATTTATTTCAAATTTATATCAAATTCATTTTTTTAATTTTTAACCCCAAAAAGTTACGGACTGGAGCTTTAACTATCATGTGTTAAAAATATACTCCACATTTTGATTTTTTATAGGCAGTAGCCTATGTTGAGTTTCTTTGTGTGCTGTGCGAGCTTCAACAGCGCAACCTTGTTACCGTCAGTAAAAGACATTTCCATCATTGATCGCAACTTACAATAGATGTAATAAAACTATAATGATCTCTCGTTTTAGTGATTCCCTACTTATTTTTTTGTTATTGACATTGTGATCAGCTCCTTGTCCAGTCAGGCAAGAAAAATTCTCTTTAAAGAGTAACTAAACACTTAACCAACTTTTTTTAGTTAATGATCTGTAAGAATGGATCTTTATTAATACCAGTCATTGACTCGAGTAACTTTTTTGGCATTTGTTTATAAAGTGTTCTATTTCTACAATATATGGTGTAAAAACGTCTTTGTGCTGCCCTCTTCAGGTTGAACGGTGGCTACTGCAGTTGAATTTTCCTATTGGATGTTTGCGGTGGTACGTGACACAGCGGTTGTTGGTGACGTAGGCAAGTTCCATACAAAGAGATGCGTCTCAGGTGCATGCCCCCCTCCGCTGGGCTCTGCCCACTTTTCCAGCATTTTTCAAATATTGCCAGTGGGTGGAGTCAGGCTCTGACCAGGGGTTTAGTTACCCTTTAATATGTCCCTTCAAAAAATCCACTTGTCCCGGAAAAGCGCTGAATATGCTTTCAATCCAGAAACTTTGCAATGTGTAGTTAGTAGGGGTGTAACGGTACATGTATTCGTATTGAACCGTTTCGGTTCGAGGCTTCCGGTTCGGTACGCATACAAACCGAAGATTGCTTGGACCATTTTTCCTGCCGGCAAAATTCGTGCTGACGCGGCCAACACAACGTTGCACAACATCAAATGGCAAACGTAATGAAAGCAGAACGAAACTGCGCTACTCGTTATGTGCTTCAGGGATCGTTTATCAGTTCGGACCAGCAACATCTGTGCAGCGCGAGCCGATCTCGATCAAGCAACACTGTTAACACACAGCGCTAAGAGATCCGGTAAAGAAAACATTTGAATTCGCCACTGAGGTAATAACATTGCTGCGAGATCTAGTGAGATGCATTCACATTTCTCCGTTATTAACCGTAGATCTCTATTAGATCAAACAGCGCTGTCATGGAAACCGTGAGAAACATTGTGCAGTGAATGAACTAGTAATACTTTCGTCCACAGACCAGCAACATTCACCATGGATTTAATATAGTAACACTAATTGGAACCAGTTTGGCTGGAATGGTGAAATGCTTTCAAGTACTTCACACATCTTTTTCCAGCACTTCAAAATTCAAATATTATATAAATAATAAATATATATTTAAAAGTTATTTTTAATGTGATGACCAAAACATTATTTGTTCATCCTTCAAAGATGACCCCCATTTATAAACCTGAAAGTTTCAAGATCGAGGAAAACACACACTTATTTAAAAATATTTTTTCTTTAAACAAATAGGAAATTTCTCTGGCATTTCTTTCTTTTTGCTGTATCGAAAACGTACCGAACCGTGACTTTAAAACCGAGGTACGTACCGAACCGTGATTTTTGTGTACCGTTACACCCCTAGTAGTTAGCAGCATAAAAAATAGAGAAAGCAAAGAAAGACTTGCTGCGATTATAATTGCTGAAGCTTTCAAATACAACAGGAGATAGCTACACAAAGCTGCACTCTTGCAAAAACCCCAGTTATAACCAATGAAGCTGTCTACGCTGTGCAATGAATCTCTTATTGACATTGTGTTTATACTTCATTATAACGAAAGGATTTGTGAACGTGCAGAATAGGGCTGAACGATTAATTGCATTTGCGATAAAATCGCGATATGATGAAACGCGATTTTGTAATCGCAAGAGCTGCGATTACACTGGTCACTTGACACGCGAGAGAAAAGCAGTCTGCAAGATAAAGCATCAACTTGCCACGCTACGCGGTCTGGCGTCCAGAAAAGAACAGTTGTGTTATTTATTCTCTCCTCTCCTCAACAATCCTGGATCGATTCAGAGAATTTCAGAATCGAGTATGAGCTTATTTTTTAAACACAAATGCGTGATGACGCTGCGTGTCCTTTAGAAACGAACCGTGAACTGAATCTGCTTGCTTCTATTTTCTCGCTCTCGCGCTCGGCTCTCTCTCTTCCTCACTCACACACGACACCGCTCGAACCTTCCAAAACATAGTAACGTTATTTTATAAAGGTCGGGGTTGAACCAAATTACAAGGACATTCGCGGGCTTCATTGAACAGGTTTTGCCGCTTTGCTTGATGTTATAACGTTACACTTGCAGTGCGCGTTCTCTCCCGCGGGTATTTTCTTTACAAATGCTTCACAGAGGCATTATTTATGTATTTTGGAATGCAGTTGGCTTATATTAAAACCATGAGAAGGCCGCTTTCGTTTTAAAATACTAACGCGTGCTTTGTGAAGAGCGCTCGTGCATGCGGCCGTGAGCGACTCATTGGTAAATGTACTTGCATGTCAAAATGCTTTTATGACGCGAAATTAATGTAAACACGGTCAGTTATATCTTAAACCAACAGGACAAACCACATTTACAATTTCAAAAGAGATATATGCATTAGTGTGAATGCAGCATATCGTATTTAAACTGAGGGGAAATCACTCCAGCTCTTGAATGAAAAACATTCAGACAGCCTACTTTTATATACTGAGACCACTCTTTGTTTATTGCTTGTAATGTTTTTTTTTTTTTCTCTTTATTTACTAGCTTTTATATTTTGAAGCTATATTATTTTATATAGCCTATTTAAAATTCTTAACTTGTAATTGGTTTAATTAAATGTTTTTTTATATTTATATTTTAAAGTATGTGTTTTTACACATGTAATTAAATACATATTTTAAGTGTTATTAAGATTAATTAATAAGAAAAAAAGTAGATCGGATCATGAGCTATCTAAAGATTCCCATCCCTACTGTACAATGATTTATTGCTTGTCTTTGTCGACTAATACAGAAGGTAAATAACTTTTTTTTTTAAATCGCATATTAAATCGCAATCGCAATATTGGTTAAAAAAATCGCAATTAGATTATTTTCCAAAATCGTTCAGCCCTGAACTCGCTTTGAACAAAAACAAATTGAGCGGTGTTGAGCAGATTCTGACTATCTTAAACATATGACTGGCCATTGCATTCACGTGCTCAACAGAGATGTCTGTGATTGGCTACAAAGTTCAACGCTGCAAAAACACCATTTCACAAGATGTAAACAATACTGGTCCAGAAGCACTTCCTGTTTCAGTTTGTAACTGTTTTCTTTATTTCACATGTAAAGAAAACATCTTAAAGATGTTTGTTTAACTTTTTGATTCAGTTTCAAATGTTCTGTTGGTTGTATTTTATCCCAGCTTTAATATAGTGTTAAAAAACTGAAACAGGAAGTGCTTCTGGACCAGTGTTGTTTACATCTTGTGAAATGGTCTGTTGTAAATATTAACCTTTGACACTCTTCACATGAGAGTTTTAAAGAAGCCTGCAATTCAGCGCTGCAGAACAGCAGGTATCATCAAATTAAATGAGAAAATACATCTTTGGTGGGACAAAGATTAATTTTGGTTGTCTCCAAAATAATTTAAAAGCAGGAAAAACCCTGCAAGTAAACTATTCCTTAATTTAAAAATATGGTGCTAAACAGTGCATATGTAATAATAAAGATGTTAAGTATGTTGTGGCATTTTCACCAGCCAAACACTCTGCTGGTCTCTTGTCTGTTTTTATTTAACTAAAGACCACTGCAGGCCTCTGTTATATTTCCCTCATACACGCCTTTGTGAAACCAAAGACCTTTGGCTTCTTTTGACAATGATAACACTGCCCACTGGGTGAAGGGTCAAATGACTCTATTTGGGTGAGGAAAACAGATCATACAATAAACAAACAGCCTCTCTTTACAAAGCACATGATCATTACTTTACCTTTGTCTGTGGTGGCTGATTTCCCAAAGCTACTTGCAATGAGGTCACCAGTTAAACCCAGGGACCCATAAGCACCTCCATAGATGTCTTTAACAAGCATATCCACATTTGTGTGTTGTCCTTTGGAAGCTAACTGCAAAAGTTCATCAAACCTCTAAGACGGAGAATGGGGATGGAAATTCAAAATAAGTAAGTGCATGAAATATAAAAAGTAAATAAATTCCTAGTAAAAAAAAATCACAAAATGAACCACCTTAGTTTTTGTGAGTAAAGCTCCAAGACCCCAAAAAGTGCCACCACCTATAGAGCTGCCACCAATACGTTCAAATTTTTCCTCTGATTCAACCTTCAAAAAAAAAAAAAACATATGAATGCTCACTTTAGAAAGTCACAGTCTACAAACTCAGCATTTCTGTGTGTGTGTGTGTGTGTGTGTGTGTGTACAATGTCACAAAAACATGTAGACCCAGTTAGGGATGGGTATCGTTAAGGTTTTATTGGTATTATTACTCTTACCGTTACCGCTCATCGATCCGGTACTTTAACGGTATTCGTATCGGTTCTTTTTGGTGTTTTTTTTTTTTTTTTTTTTTTTTTTTTAAGAATTAAGAACATAATTAAACTTTATATTTTGAAATGTAAAATAGAAAAAGCAAAATGAAGAAAAATATATTTTTGTTATGCAGCAGTGTGCAGGCTTTTTTGTTTATACAAAAAGGACACATGAGAAAAAAAACAAGTACAAACACAAGAATACAATTAATCAAAGATACAAATTATATACAAAGTGCTTTAATTTCAGGAAGGTCTACTAACATCTTTTCAGGTAATTGTTTCTGTCTGAAAGAAACCTAGTAATCAAATATAAAATAGCACTGTATAGTTTATCATAGATAGAATAATGCTTATTAAATCTAAAGTTACTCATTCAAAAGCTGTGAGTGATTTTCTCTGCCTTTTGTTGTTTGATTTGCCTTAATGGCTGAGTTGTCAGCAGGTTTAGGCTATTAGACTTGTGAACAGCGTCTCTTGCGCAGGTTTTTGTGTTTTTAATAGCCATTTTTTGATCTTGCAACAGTAGATGACAGCATTTTGCAACAATCGCCGATCGTGCTGATTCTGACTGTTACGTTTGGGTTTTAGGAAGAACTGACAGCACTCCGCAGTGCTGTGAAGTGAAGGAAGTTAAGCTGGACAGATCGTCTCGTTTTTTAACGGTTTTATCTCAAATATCTTCTTTTTATAATCTTTGGAAGCCGAAATATTAGAATAATATCCCAGATCTAAAGTGTAACCACGTTGAATGTTTAGTTCTGTCCTCATTGTCACTCATTAAGCAAGGGCTGTCGTGTTGCGCGTGCTGTAGATTTGCGTGAGATCGCTCTCTCTCTTCTCTCTCTCTCTTCTGAACTGCGACTTGCAAATTTGCATCACAGACAAATGGTTTAATTAAAATATAGTTTATATATAGAAATGGCTGGCGATATAAACATGTTCAAGATAACGTCTTTATAGGAATAATAAATAGTAGCCCAACTTACGTGTATTTACTTAATTTCTCCAGTACCGACAAGCAGAACCGATAACGTCCGAGCTTATCGATACAGCGGTCTTTCAAAATTCAGTACCGGGGCCCGTTTAATACCGGGTTTCGGTACCCATCCCTAGACCCAGTGCAGTATGGGTATACCTTTACTATTGAGACTCCAGATCCAATGTTTATAAGCAGGTATGGGAAGATGTCTGGGTGTGTATTCTGGAACCGGAATTCAGAATCAGCGTGTTTGGCATACACAAAAGCCTCGTGGGGGATATTCTTCAGAACAAAGTTGCATCCCTTAATCAGACAAGTCATTTCATCCTCTTTGTCCACTCTAAGAGAAAAATATATATACAAATACCATTACAAAAATTCACGATGAATACTTTATTATTCAAATCCTTTAACTCGTGTCTGTATTGTTGTTCTCAGTAAGCTCTAAAATTCTACTCACTTTAGCTTTAACTTTTTCTCTATCAAATCTTTGAACTTGTGCGCTCCTCCACCAGTAGCTTTGATAACTTTGGTTTCCGTGTTAACCAAGTGGACCTTAATGAAATCCAGGCAAGTTTCAATGTAAGCATTCTCAAACTTGATAAAGTGAAGACGGGCAGTAATCTCTTCCTGTACAGATATCTCATAAAGAGGGTCACCATCTGTTTCCTGGAAACCAGTAAAAATAAAAAAAATATAATACATGATTAAATAGACATGACATCCACAGGTAAAATGACAAGACCAAGACTTCAATTAATAATAATACAATAATAATATTTATTATAAATTATAATTATTGTTGTAACTCATGTTTACATACAAAATATTACTGTAAAGTGCTACCATAATAAAAAATATAATATGTATAATATAATATTGCAACTAGATTAAAATATGTTTTAACCAACATGATTAATCTAGAGAATAACCAGATTTATTTTTTCAAAATATATATTTTTTTATTTCATTATTTTCTACCGCAAACTTCATTACAAAATTCATTATTATGATTAAAAACTATTAATTATTAACAGTCACTTTTTGTCAAATCCTGAGTAAACACTCAGGGGAAAAAAAGTGTAGAGCCTAAAAACCAGTGTTTTGAGCATTTCGGACATTACCAAAAATGATGATATCTGAAATGTTTACTTTGTAAATACCCATCATCCTTGATTGGTGGACTCAGTGCACTTGTTAAAAACAATCACTGGTTGGTTAGTCAACCAAAGCAGTGTGTAGACACTGGCTCTTCTCATCTCACTTTTTTACCTGAATTTCCCTTTCATATACATGCCATGCTAAAAGTTCTGTTCACACTGACGGGCAGTGGTGGAATGTAACGAAGTACAAATACTTTGTTACTTTACTTAAGTACATTTTTCACGTATCTTTACTTTACTTAAGTAAAATAAATAGTGCATACTTTTTACTTTTACTACGTTACATTTAGCAGCAATTATTATACTTTCTACTCAACTACATTTCTACAACTTCTGTTACATTTTTATTACATTTTCTGATCAGTTTTTCCCCTGTCAAAACGTAATCTGACCGTCCGTTCGTTGCACGTTTGTCTCACTAGTGACGTTTGGTTGCCATAGATACATCAGCTAAATGCGTCTCGCACGCAATGTGTTTATCGTGCAATTTATATGCGAAAATTTGTTTTTACATGCATAGGAAACACACCGTGTGTAATATACGTTTGGTTAGGATTATGGCAAGCCAAGAGGTTCTGAATTACACCATAAATTAATCGCATCTACTGCCAAACATAGTTATTAACAAATAGTAAGGATAAGCATGGTTTATATTGCCTAATTGCAAGCTTGTTTCAGAAATGGTGACAACAATTTTTTTTTCCATCATTATTGAACATCATTATAGGAGTATTAGGTTGAATGAGTTAGAATTAAATGTTTTATTAATCATTAGAAAATAGTTATTAAGAGAATCAATTGTTATGCAAGTACTTTTACTTTTAATACTTAAAGTACATTTAAAATCAGGTACTTTTTACTTTTTACTTAAAGTATGGTTGTCATTGTGTTACTTCTACTTTCACTAAAGTAAATATTTATCTGGTTATTTGTACTTTTACTTAAGTACTGAGATTCAGTACTTCCTCCACCACTGCTGACGGGGATTAAGTTGCCGGTGGTCACAAATTCGCTGTACTGTTGGTTTCTAATACTGTTGGTTAACTTGGTTTCTACTGTTGGTTTGCTCATACACATAAAAAAAAGAAAAACAAAACAAAACAAAAAAAACTAAGGTATGACTATTAAGGTCATGACCCTGTGCAGTTTAATTATATGCACTACTTGTGCGGCAAATTAAATGCACTACAATCAATGATGCTTTTTTCAAGTCTTTTGATTTCTCATCTAAATTCTAGATACAAAAGATCCTTGATGACAAAAGATCCTACCAGATCCTTGTCTCCAAACAAAAGTACCCTAATGCCATGGGGTTAAATGAGAAAATCTTACCTGCAAGCTTACCTTTGCTGAATGATCAAATGACCTGACTTTGGCAACTTTGTGCTGAACAGTGGAATAATAGGCCAGTTTTGTCAAAGAGCCACCTGTCAGATAAGATGAGGTCAAATCGTTTCTTTATTCTATATTTATATACACTAAATCTTATATAATACGATAATTATTCTGCTATTAACACTTTACAGGGGTTGCTAGAGTCCATCCAAAAAAAATCTGATAATTACAATAATGATGATTGCACTTTACAGTCCAGAAGGACATCTCATCGTTCGGGTTTATTTTATATAATCAACATTATGAAGTTGATATCTACAGCCTCGACGTCTCCACTATAAACGTTTGATGATGTTTCTCACATACATTGAATGAACTGTCAGATTAGCAGCACGCGCTAACAGGTTTTAGCACAGCCCTGCCCAACAAACTCTGCCACGTCCAAACTCCACAAGTGATTGTACTGCGAACAAGAACAGAAAAAGGGTGGAAGTTTGTATGTGATGATACCTATATCTATAGCGAACCTCTTGGCGTTCTCCAAATTGCGGAAGATTTCATCGGGAGGGAGTGTAATGCTTTTATCCATGCTGTGTGATCCTCTATCCGCCCCTCCAGACAGCGCCATTTTACTGCGAATATGTTTGCCATAGCGAACTGCGACGCAACGTGAGCGACGCAGAGTTATGGCGAAATTCTACAGTAAAAGTCCCATACGCAGAATAGAATATTATAGAATAGAATAGAATAGAATAGAATAGAACTATTTCCTTTTCAATCAGAAACAATTAAATTGCCAACATCATTACCACCATTAATCTGAGAATAAGATGGGTAACTATTTAGAACTAATTCACAGGTAACATTAAAATGATAATTCAGATTCCTATACATTTTCATTTATTAACAATTTTATACAGCTAGTATAGTTTAATTTGAGGATGCACAATCTGCTGATAGGGGAGACCGGGGACGGTTGTAACACTTATTTTCTCATTACCTAAAATTACCTCTTTTTTTAGCTACACATCTAAAACTTTTAGGCAAATAAGTACCCATTTTTGTCAACTACAAATTGCAACAATTTAAATTTCTTCAAAAATAGCACAGACTTTGTGAGATGATCATGAATACAAGGTGGTCTTTTGTTACAACCTACCCCACCACTGGGGTAGGTTGTAAGTAACACATACTGGGGTCAGTTGTAACAGGTAGACAAAATGCACAATAACTAGGGTACTCCGTGGTCATATGCCACAACAACATTTTTATTTTAAATTAATGGCTGCAACAATAAAAAAAAAATGTGTGAATTTGGAGAGTGTATGTGTAGCAGACTTCAAATGGTAACCTCCGGACAGAAACACGACCACACGAAGAATGGGGTGGACATTCGACTGTTTGGATTTCATATGATTTCTCATTGTTTTCTCATTGATTTAATATTGATTCATATGATTTCTCATTGATCTAACTCTGATTAATTAATTTGATCAAAAGTAATTCCATTTAGTAAGATCATTTTCAAGTAATTCCAAACTTCGCGAGGCAAACGACAACATTTATCAAATACAGACAACTTGTTAACACACTCCACAGCGCCATCCAGTGCATTTAATTATTACTGCGAGTTAATGCTTAGGATTTATCATAGACTCAGGCCAGCAAAGCAATGTAGTAAAATTCGAATAGTATTTCATTTTTCGAATAATAATTACAGATCGAAAATTCGAATATTCGTGCACACCCCTAATTGTGACGTCATGTTTCTACCGTAGACAACAGTGTTGCACTACAGAGCGCGTTTCGTCACTACCTTGAAAGAGAAGCAGCAGAAAGCTAGAAGCCACGGGCTCCCAAGATGGCAGCGTTGTAGGAGGACGTGTGCTTGTCGCTCTGCGAGCAATTTCGAATTGGGTTTATATATTACTGACATTTTTTTTTTTATTAATTTGATGACAGAACCTTAAGGAAGAAGAAGATAATATAAAGGGAAAAGAAAAAAAACTAACATAAGCAAGACGTAGTTGTAGGCTACCACGAATGCCCAAGTCGAAAAAGAGGATCTCTGAAAGGTTAACGATTTCTCAACTCGTGTCGCTAAACATGGAAGATAGCCAGTCTGAAGGGTCGGCAGCCCAGAATCCTTTGAGTGGAGACGAAACGTGCTGGTATGAAGCCACCCCAGAGCCATTGTCAGACACCGATTTATTTCCCATTTTGGCGGTGGAGACGCCAGAAAAGCCTGCCAAGAAAAGGAATCGTGAATCTCAATCAAGTGGGCGAAACTGGGAATCGGCTAATGCTGAACTCATGGAGGCGATACGGGCCATGCGAGCAAGCAGGATGAAACACTCCGGAGAGTCTCTGCTATAGGCATAACTACCGAAACTACAGCTCCTCAAACGGGTTGAGGAGCTGACAACAACTGTCAAACAGCTGTCATTGGATGTTCAACAACACAAGCAAACACTGGAGAATATGAAAGTTGCCGATACAAAGCTCCAAGACGAAAATAAGCACCTGAGAGAAGCTGTTGCTGAGTGTCAATGATACAGCAGAAGGTGGTTGCTTAAGATGCACAGTGTAAATGAATCAAGAGATGAAGACATCAGAGGCAAGATAATCGATAACCTTGGGAAAATGGCACCAAAGCTTCGTGATGACTTCAATCAAGTCATTGACATCGTCCATCATGCGGGGAAACTGAGAGAGGACGGCGCTGCGAGATCAACTATAGTTTTGTTAGCCTTGCTAACAAAATAATACTAATAGCCTAATTTAAAGATAAGGCAGCATTGGATCTGGACGGTAAGGAGAATAACGCTGGGAGTTGGAAGAGCTGTGTCGCGATTCTGTTCGTGGATCTGAGTCGTGTGGCGAATCGCGATTTCGGTTTCATATTGCATATTGTTACAGCCCCAAATTTGTTCTACTTAGTTATTTTGGTGAAAGTAACTCAAAAGTAATACATGAGTAATGTAACGCATTACAATTCTGAGACAGTAATATTGTAAGGTAATGAATTACTTTTAAATAACAGTAACAAGTAATACCTAATGTACAGTCCAAACTGTAACACACCTCTTCCAACTCCCAGCGTTTTTCTCCTTACCGTCCAGATCCAATGCTGCCTTATCTTTAAATTAGGCTATTAGTATCATTTGAAGTTAACATTATAAAATACGTAGACCTACACCACAAAACTAGTTAAGGAACATTATGGACATGACATTTGCAGTCAAAACTTGAAACAAAAATTCTCAGAAAATACATGTATTGAAACGTATAGGCTACTTCCTCAAAGGACTCCAGACATTAGACAAATATCAGTCTATGTTTTATTTTTAATATTAGGGAAAAAACACACATTTATGCGTGACAAAAAAAAATAGGAGGCAAAATATATTTTTTGTAATTCTGTTAATTACACTGCGCAAATCGGATGAGGAAGGGTTGGCTCTCCAGTCTCCATAGAACTTAAAATATTCATTTTATTTTAGTATTCGTGTTCGCATTTATGAGGAAAAATCAATGTTACAGACGCGACCGCTCTGAACTGGCACTAAAAGACTGCTTTAAAACTTTCACATAGTCTGTTGCCTTTAAGAAGAAAAGCAGACAATACACTGTAATACAACTGTAATACAAGCCTCACTGAACATGTAACGAGTAAAATATTACTGAAAATTGATTAGTAATGCCTTACACTACTGCGTTACAGCAAAAAGTAATATGTTACTGTAATGTATTACTTTTGTAATGCGTTACTCCCAACACTGTTTGGAAGTAACTTGCACAACACTGCTGCTGGTGTCTCAATCCTTGTGCATGGTTTCAAGGGGGATATTTTGGAAGTTGTGCCCTCTAGTGACGGAAGATGGATAGTAGTCAAGCAGGACAATACAGCGGGGTATGACGCATCTACTTTTTATTTAAAGGGGACGCATTGAAACGGGTTGCTCAAAGATGCACATCAGAAAAGGGTAGAAAAGGGGCCTGTGGAGCTATAATAATGAGGAATTCAGACCCAAGCATTGCAGTTATGTTTTATATAGACCACAACGGTATGATTTATATGTAAAAATGAATGATTTAAAAGCATGATATGTACCCTTTAAATCACACAAACTTGTAAAGAACAAGAAGAATAGAAAGCTTTTATCTCAATATTATGACCGATTCCCCAATTCCTCTTAATATCCTTATTATTTTTCGCATGGGCGTCGGAACCATTGTATATGACAAGACCCACCCACTTTTTAAGACCAATGATATTGGACCCACTCACTTCTACCGTCTCTCTCTAATGCAGCGCATAGGCCTATGTCTGTTCACTTTTCAGAGCGCCGTCAGTCAAATCCATTCCACTGGAGTAATGCCCTAATAAATTAAACTCCATTCCACGTTTTAGCTCCAGCATTGATTTCGACGCTGCTACTCAAATCCATTCCACTTGACTCAAACACTTCATTCATTTCATTCACTCCTTGCAGATATAAGGGGGCGCACACCGGACGAGAAGCGCAGCGCCATGTCTTTAAATTTCAAACACATTGTTGTGTACTCTTATGTTACATTTATTCATTTGATACCTCGAGTTGTCATAGACGCGGAGCGTCGCTTCTCGTCCGGTGTATGAGCCCTGCAACTTTGCTGGCTGCGCATCATCTCATTTTATTATGACTTTCAACTGTCTGTGTGGTTACAAAATATATTAAATGGCATCGAACACAGCTCAGCCAATAATAACCAATATCTGGAAGTGTCCGTTTTTAGAATGTGTTTTGAAACTGACACTAGGCTAATTGTTGAAGTTAAAGATTTTTTTTATTGATAAGAACTCAACAGTCTGTGGTCTCTGGTGTATTTTTTGCTTCATAATGCATATTTTTTCATGATAGCCAGACAGCATCAAAACACATGCTATAAAATTATTGACTGAGCAGTGTTCGATGCCATTTTAACATAGCCTACTTTGTAACCACACAGTTGAGAGTCGTAATAAAATGAGACAACGCGCAGCCAGCAAAGTTGCAGTGGAAAAAAAAACACTCACAGTTAGAGTGCAGTTATACGCACGGCAGTACTATGTTCCAATATCGATGGGAGAAAGTCACCCTGTTCACATGTGCAAAAAAAAATGTGCTTGCTTTGAAAATCCCGAAATGGTGCTGATTCGGTGGTGACGCCGTGTTCATGTAGGCTACTAAAAGCTGTCACAAGGAACCGGTAAAAGTAATGATTTTGAATGTTTCAAATATAGCAAGGAGACATTTTAATTGTTTATTAGTGTCTGTGTCGACTGCAATCGTGATCGCAGTAGTTAACGCGCCTAATGAGAGAAATGCGCATTATATGACTTATCACCGATCAGAGATTGGTCTGTTTCTTTTCGTTTTTAATTGTTTCATTTTAAATTAGAAATTGTTAATATTTCTATATATTTCTTGTGTTAAAGGGCACCTATTATGGAAAATTCACTTTTACATGGTGTTTGAACATAAATGTGTGTTGGCAGTGTGTGAGCAAAACCACCCTAGAATGATAAAAATCCACCCAGTGGTTTTTTTACAATCTCAATAAATCATATGCACTGCCTCAGAACGAGCTGTTCTGAGATTCAGCTCTTTGTGACGTAGAACGGGAGACAGG